TTTTTTTGGCTCCGGTCGGGTTAAACCCGCCCCAGCCATATTCCTGAGTTAGGCCTTATTTGGGCAGCGTTTAAACAAGGTATCAGGAACACCAGCTTATTCACCCAGCTTCATATCTAAATTAAGCTGTATGATGACAGGAGGCATCCCTTCTGACTCTGTATGAGTTTAATGTGTATGAGAGAGCACAAATGAATGAAGCAATGGGTAGGAGAGGAGCAACAGGAAAGGCAATTGTGGTGAGTTAAGCTAAAGAAACAGAGAAATATATTTTAACAAACGTTTCCACTTTGGCCATTGTCAGGAAAAAGAAGCCCTTCTAAAAATATATATTTATATACATTTTAAATATACTATCAACAGGACAAAATAGCCTTTGCATGGCGTTTTTTCGATTGACCAAGTCAAGATCCCAAAAGTTCTAACCCAGAAAGAACTGCAGGTATTTAATCTCTTAAAAGCCAAGATCTTTAACTATTTTTCACTTGGTCTGGGCTTTGAGCTTTGCATTGCCTGTCATAATAGATAGCAGTATTAAGAAAAACAAGAGAGTGAAGAAGAGAGTTGCTCCTCTTTTCTTATCCTTCCAAGAGCTTACTGCTGTGGGATTTTTATCACCCTTTTTGCAAGGCTGGCATTACTAATAGTAATGCAGTGATGTACTAAGCTACTTTAATCTGTTTCAAAACAGGTGATGGTCCTCTCCACACCACTTTCATGCTAAGAGGCAACCCCAACCTCTCTTTAATGACAAATGTGCAAATTTTCTCAGCAGATCTTCACAAATCCATGAAGAGGTATCTTACTACAGAAAATTCGATTTCTCTATTGACTGAGGGCACAATGCAGAGCCTGTGAAGAGTCAATGGACTGGCCTCCCTTTGAATCAGTGCCTGCATATTCAATTTGCTTTGCCCTAAATGAAGTGTGCTGCTGTGGAGCAATGTGCTTTGTAAAGCACAAACCTCCTTATTCTGGATATGTTCTCTGAAGATGAAATCCTACAGGAGAGTCTGTGTACAGTGCTGTCACAGTGTGCATGCTGGTTAGACAGTAAATAATTGCTTGCAAACCTGAGCAGAAGGTTGAAGAGAAGCTCTGCAGTGCTCCATCCACTTCCTCTATGCTGGGAAGAGCTATAAGCCGAGGTAGAAGAGCTTCAAGTGACTGGATAAACAGCCGTGCGCTGTGCTGGTCTGCTTCTTGGTTTTTCAGCAATTTCAGAGAGAGAGCAGCAGTACGTAAGGATCTGTGACCTGGACAATCCCGTGGTGTCTGCTCCTCATCAGCCAGAGAGCAATTGTCAGAGCCTATGTCTGAGACATCTGACCTGCCTGAGTCCTTCTCTGCTGCCATGGAATACTGATCGCATGAGTCAAACTCAGTCCTCGAAAGGTCCTGTTCATCTACACTGAAGTTACTTTCACTGTATCTGGATCCATAGGACCGGGTCTTGCAATCAACTGATAAGAAGTTAGTTATATCTGGATAGACTATGGTGTGGCTTCTCTGAACAACATCTGGCTGGTCGATGGTTTCTGACTCTGGTTCTCTACAGTGAATCTCTTTGTTTTCGTGTCCAGCTGGAGATGGCAGTGAGTTTTTTTGACTTTCTGGATTATCCTCTGGAGTTGTCTGTCCCATATCCCCTTCCAAAGTGGTCTGACCAGTGTCTGTGGTAACGCTAATGCTAATATCAGGACTCTTTTCATTTCCTGATTCCCAGGCAGGATTTTCTGAGGACAGGATGCGCCTCTGCCACCTGAAGTCAGCATCATTGATCTCCATGGAGTCTCTGCTTGTCTCGGTCCCATCCTTCAATTCTTCTAAGCGACGGAGCAGCAGCTGGATCTGCTCTTCACTAAGACCCCTCCCTTGGCTCAGCTCATCTAATGCTCCAAGCAGGGCAAAGACGCAAGACACTGAAGCATAGCATGCTTCAATACCACCTTTGATGCATGCTTCTGTCATCCCATCCATGATGCTACAATTAAAACAGAGTTTAAGTGATGCAGCACGTATAGTGAGCTCCATCATCAAACACCACCCCTCCACAAACATGAAAAAAAAGTGAAATTAACCTGTAAGACCACACCTGAGGAAGACAACTAGTATTAGAACTAATTATTAAGTCTCCCATGTGGACGTGGCCATGCACAGCATGTTTTCCCCTACAGATAAGCACTTACACTGGAAAAAACCCTCAACATCCAACTGAAACTAAATTTAAAGCAATCTGTGTCCTGAAAATTATCTTATCTACAAGACAGGACCTTTACAAGAACTGAGAATCCTTCTTGCTCAATCTGACAATGTTTAAATTTTTTATTACCTCCTTTGACTTCATCATGGAAATGTATCTTTAAATATGCACACAGTTATTTCATTGGAAGGTTAGGAACTCGAACCTAAGAATTTCCAGCTGTAAACAAACATATCTGGGTATTTTCACAAACTCCACAAGGTAGTTATCCATGCCTTTACAAACAGGCCCAGACTGACAACAAAGCAGTACGACCTTTTACCTCTCTTCCATTTTCACATCTTATTTAATCAGGGCGATACCCTGGCTCATATTTGGTTATTCTTCTGTAAATACAACTGTTTAAGCGTCCTATGTGCACAGGTTTAAAAGAGAAGAGGCTAAAGAAGAAAACAAAGCGTACAGCTTGAGAAGATCCAGATGGGACTTCCTTTTAGAAATAGACCTCTTTCTGGATTCTGACTCAGAAGAGCAGGGCCCTGCCAAATCACAAAGCCGCCGAGGACTGCCAAGTATCTGAAAGGAAAGGAAGCAGAAGTTACTAGAGGATTATCTAAGCATTATTTAAATACAATAAATGAGTCATAGTTCTATCAATCCCTGGAACCTGAGGTAGCAGTACTGTAATTTCTCACAGCAAGGGAAAACAACACACTGATATTTTACCTATTAAAGCTACCTTTCCTCTTTTTAAAGGCAGAAAAGCAGATAGAGAAGAACAAAACATTCAACAAGAATCACACACACAATGTTCTCCAGTGCTTTACATTTTTGTTGTAGGTGTTTTGTATATGTTTCAACTGATACCGCACACAAGACAATCTTTATGCCTAAATACAGAGCAAGTATCTTGCATTACGTTATATACCAAAGGGGGCCTTTGTCTTCAGTCACCCAGTTACAAAATTAGAATTAAGCAAAGATAGGCAAAGTGATTCCTTCTGACTTTACCTGCTGGGTGGTGTCCTGTTAATGCCCACAAAGGAGGCGGCTTTACAAACAAGCCCGTATTAATAAGCAGAAAGAGGCAACAGGTATGTCCTGCAGGAAACAACATTAGACTGAGCTTTCCTAAAATTTCACTTGTTATCTTGCTGTTGTTTAAAATTAGAGGAAGACAAGTGCCAGGGTGACTGCCAGTTCAGACAACAACCCAGTGGGTGGCTGTGTGGTGTTAGATCTTCAGACACAGAACAGCCTAGGTATGCACAAGTTAGAACAAAAATCCTCTGAGAGACCACTGATCATACAAATTACGTAAGCTGCCTTGTGTTCCGCAACATGAGAAGAAAGCTGCATATGTGAAATGGAAGAGCCCATGATTTCAGCTGCTGCTCAAAGAAGTCTTACAATGCTTCAGTTCTAGTGCTGTCAGAGGCACTGGGCAAGAGGCCAGAATAGAGTAGTCTTGATATGGCCGCTTAAGATATTGGCAGCTTCCTTGTGGCTATTCTAATAAAGCTCAAGGAAACTGTATTTCAAAAACCTGGCACGTAATCAAAGCATACATTCACCTTAATGCCTGGAATACTACACTGTGAGGATGAATGTCTCCTTCTAGCAAAAGCAGAGAGTGAGGAAAGATGCCAAGGAAGTTGAGAACTGGATCACTACACTGTATCTCACCCAAAAGAGCAGTCATGACTCAGTGATAAGATCTGCTCCCTGCAGTACCACAGCATGAACACTTACGGAGTTGCCATAGCAGCTTGCGTTATGGAGACAAATATAGCCATTACAACTTTGTAAAGCTAAAAATATTTGTCAGAGTGGCTTTCATCTAACAGCTGTGCTGAGAAAGGGTGACTTCAACATCCGTAGTGCTAAGGTATGGAATGGACAGGTATGCACATATCAGCAACATTTACTGTTAAATAAACATTTGGCTTTACATGCCTGGATTTGCACATATGATTATCCTACCTCCTTCATAATTTTGATGGCTTCTACTCGGTGCTGAGGTGGTGGGTAAAGCAATATCCGGTGATAGAGTGACTGCAGCACAGGCTTCATGGATTCCACTGACCCCACCAGTCGAACCAGTTCTGCTGCAATATAATATATGGTCCGTGCAACGGGCCCACTGAGGGCAGGTGCTGTGGAGGAACAACCTGAACCTCGGCCATGATCAGAGATCCCTGAGGAAGGTGAATCAGCCTCAAGGCAGATGCTGCTGTGGGCAGAGGTGATAGTTTTGTCATGGATTGGATTTCCCAGGATTACTACTAGGGCTGGACACAGTTGCTTCCTGAGAAAAAGAGAAAAGCAGCAGATGGTAACTGGAAAAAAAAAAATCTCACAGGAACAGACTGAAAATAGCCCACAGTTAAATGAGATACACACTCTTGTTTTAATGATCAGTCAACAGCAGTGGTTAGATAGAGTAACAAATTACACCAGGGTTTTTTCACCTCCCAAGCATCAGCACACTAGTACATATGGAAATACTTCTGGGTGCTTTATAAACATGGTACTGATTTTGGAAGTTCATATTGCTGCACAGTGCTGCCCTTTACAGGATAACATGCCCGCATTTTTCATTGGCTGCAACCTATCGCAAGGTAGAAATTCTGGTTTTCTACTGCCAAGCGTTTCTTCTTCAGTCCAACTGGGGAGCTTTAAAAAAATCTGACAAAACAAAACCCAGTCTATGTTAACTAGAAGGCCTGATGTTCCATCACTGAACTGCACATGCACCTGTTTTAGTAAGCACCCTTAGTTGTAAGCCTCTGTTTTGGTGGCTTTTGAGAACATCATTAAAGACCTCTACAGTAACTCAATGTGCACTGTAACTCCTCATACGCCACTATACACTAAAAACACTGTCCTTCCTTCAATTAACTTGAGTGTTCATGCAGAAAGACAAGTGATTCAAACCAGCAGATGACTCTTCTGTGGAACCAGAACCACAACCAACTCAGCACTTTGCTCCATTAGCTGTTATTTTAGCTTTGCACTCACGCACTTGACATTTTACTTCAGTCTGCAAGACCCTAATTTGAAAAGGCAAGTGCTGCATGAGAATGCAGTCCCAAACCTGATTTTCACTCATATGCCTCAGAGGTTCAGCTGGCGCCTAGAGCAAGCACCCAATGACAAGTACTGATTCAGCATAAAGAGTAACACATCCTCTGTACATCCTATTTTCTCAAGATTTTTATGCAGTCCAGAACTTTCATTGCTTCTCCTAATGTGCTTGCTAAAACAGCTTGGCTTCCTGAAGTTATAGAAAGAAAACCAGTTTTAATCAGACATCAGATAACAACTTTGAGTCTGCTTATTCCATTTCTTCCTCCAATCAGGTACACTTCAAAACATATCAATTCACTGCTTAAGAAATGTGCCTGCCTCGAAGCAGGTGTAGTCACAGGATGCAACAGCAACATATTCCCCACACATCTTAGTCCCATCAAAGGGCTTCTGTATCAAACTATGAAGAACACTGTCAGAAGAACACAGAACTAAATCTGTCTGCTCCCTTCTTTATCTTCTGTTGACAACTGACTACAAAGTGCTAGCCAGAAAGAAAGTTGTGTGCACATAGGCAACAGCTCCTTAAAGAACACAGACAACTATTGGTTTGGTACACAACTTTACTAAGCTAATGGATTACTGCATACTTACACTGCTATATAGTCAAAATGATGTTTGCACTTAAAACTGTTTCATGTCTTCCTAGTGGTTTTTGTTTTCCCCACTTCATCTTAAGCATGTAGCTGGAGGTTGCATATTCCTTGGCAGCAATGCAGGTTAAGAGGTCCGGCCCCTGATGGCTTGCCCTCATGATACACAGTTACAAATACAAACACCTGTAGATTATTTGCAGTGTAACCTGGATCATCAAAATGATGTAAATTTGAAATAAACCAGGAAGTGTTTTCTTTTAACTGAGATCATTTCAGTGGCCTTGCTTATACGATGGCCCCACAGTCGGTCACATAAGCATAAACAAAGGGTTGGGTGAAATTCAAGGGCAAAAATTTTTGAAATTGGTTTGTCATGAAAGAGAGAATTCTGCTCTTACATTAGAGCTCCCAGAGGCCTCAACACAGGGTCCTTGCCAAGTGTCATCAACCTGAAGACCTCCCAGTCCAGCAGCCACTGATTTTCCTGGGACAGCACGGGAATTTATGGGTGCCTCTGCATGTTGCATCCTTAGAATTGGGCCCAAGCCAAACACTTCCATTTCAAAAATTACAGGGTAAAAGCACAAGAAATACATTTGCAATTAACAGCCACACATATCTTTTCTTAACACAATCGCCTGCTAAGGTCACAGGATGGGCATGGACTGCAAGGAACTCCATATTTCTTACGTTCTTGCTTTATTACTATGACTCAATTATCCGTATGCTATAAAAAAGCACTACTGCAAACAAAAAGAAGGAAAGGATTATTTCAAGGGCTCCAAGGTGATGGTATCAAACAATTTAGAGGTAGATATGAACACTAAAGAGGTCAAGCCTTTCTGGTGAAGGGAAATTAAACAGAGGATTTCTTGATAAAATGGAAGCACCATGAAGACCATTTAGCCTCAGCCTTTATACAACGCATGTCATAAGCATTTCTGGTCACCAGCACATCATCTGACATTATTTTTCTTATCTTCCTGTTTTGCTGCATCAGACCAGTAAGAATCTCTACAGCATACTCTTACAGTAAGCAGAATACCTGTGTGTTTAATGCCACACACAAATACAAACTATTGCAGAAAGCATAAGAGATTTTTCTGTCCTGGCTAAATACATTACGGTGATAATTCACTACAGGGGTTTAAGGTGCCAGCTGAGCATGAGGTCCTAACCAATCTTATATGAGGCACAGAATGAACTGATAGTAGGTTAACAGGAAATTCTGCTCACATCTGGAGATTTATTACAGGTTTGTTTGCATAGCTGGGGGGAGAAGGTCCTTTTATACTTACAAACTGAATATTTGCATTAGTCGTCAGATGTACTCACCATATGAGATCAGTGAACCCTTTGTGCTGGTGCATGCTGGGAGAGGAGCTGTTTAACATGGAGAGGATGCACTCCAAGTAAAGAAGCTGAAGTTGCCGGTTGTCACTGGCAAAGAGAAAAGATGCCATTCACATCACATTAAAACAAAGATTATTTAATTTTCTAAGATAACTACATTAGTTCACTTGAAAATTATACTGCAATTTAAACAGTGATTTATTTTGCCTCTTCTTATGGATTTACAATGGTGTGATCACCTTTATCATCCCATGTATTTTGTACTGATCACACGCAGTGATCTGCTACTTTTTCTAAATATAGAAATAGAAAGAAAATAGATTTAATTCATCAAATTTCAGAGTGAGGAATTAAAAAAAAATCCATGTGAAAAAAGAGGAAGAAGAAACCAGAAATAATTATTCAAATTCAATCTAAAAACTTGAGGAGGAAGGAACTCTTAAACAGAGAAAAAGGAGACAACCAGAAGACTTTGGACTATTGGATAGTTTCTTCAGGCAATCTGAAGGGCATTTAGGCTGCTCTCTGCTGGTTAGTTTTTCCTCCTTTCCTGGTGACAGCCACAATGATCAAAAGTGAATGTCTACAGGCAGGAAGTCGCATGATGACATGGCTACCTTTCCGGGCCTTGCCAGTTCCTCTGTCAAAACCATAAACACAAAGTGAGCTTCTTGAGAAAGAACGCAAAAGATCCCATGGACACCTGGAACTGATGCACTTGTAACATACGCTGTGCTTGCACCTACTCTCAGAATTAGCTGCCAGGTTCAGGAGACAAGTAAGGTTGAGGTCTGCCTTACAGAAGTAGCTCCCCATACCAATTGCATTCATATTCTGATTTTGATTCCTAAAAAGACCAGGATTTAGTCATTCTTTTTTGGTCCAAGATGAAAGCTGGAGGAATGTATTTTCTAATGTATGATGGTAGGTAAAGGAAGCTCTAAAGAATGGATTTATCTTAACTGAAATTCAAGAATGAGAAATGTCTGCTCTTCTGTCACTGCCTGAATTCCTTTTGTTCATAGAGATGAATTTTCATCCAAGTAGAACAGGACCTGTTTCACATGCCATGCAGAAAATAATGAATCCTGAGGCTAACTCTGTGCTAGAGTGCGTTTAGAACTGCTGCTGGTTACATGTATACTAGAGGTGATAGCTTTTTCCTCACAATAGTCCACACCTATCTGGAAAGATGCACACATTCCAGATACAACTCCCTTCTTTCCCGACAGCTTTTCTTACAATGTGTCTTAATGTATATCATCAACATCTTGCAGTTGACACTTCATGGGCACACACAGGGTATTCCTGCACTCTTGATTGCTCTGATGCCTCTCACTACCATATTGGTTTCCTGTAGGTAAGAAATGAATGTGGCACTCCTGCACACCTCAGCATAGTTGTTGTGTTCATATCACTGCTGCCACAAATTCCAGAGTCACCAAAGTCACCAGCGGTCCCGAGAAAAAACATTCACCTCCTTGAACTCTTCCTCATCAGTCATAGCTGTGCCTCCCCAAAACCAAATTCTAATAAGCTTGAAATTTAGGAGAATTAAAGTAATCTTCAGACTAAGAAATTAGAATAGGCAGTATAGCATACTAAAACCTCACTTCACTGACCTGGAGGTTAGAAAGTGAAGTTGCTGCCAACAAAGTCCTTTGAAGGAGACAAGAAAATTAGCCTTGAAAGAAATAAAGGCTTTTCATTCATGGAGTTGGTTCTTTAACGAGCCATCCTAATTAAATTTATTTTCCTCAGATTCAATCTGAATCCCTTACTATGCTTAGCTCATAATTAGAGATCCTAACAGTCTTGGTACATAATTACAAGCATGAAGTAAATCATGGCTTAGTGAGTACTTTTAAGTCCTCTGAATTTCTTGTTCTACTTTATCTACAGCATGCCTCAATCTGTTCTAATTCAGTACCATTTTATGGGGAGCTGGGATTGCGGGTAATTTTTTAAAAGACTTTCAGTGATTTTGAGAGATTCTGTCAGGTAGACAGACAGTTTTGATATTTCATAACCAGTAATGCAAGGGGAATATCATTTGGTGGACAATACATATTAGATGATACCTGTTTATAGCTTCACATGTGGGCAAAATTTGATACAAAGAATTAATCTTTCAGCTGTTTTTGTCCCTTGCTATTGTTAGATACACACTTTTGAAGATCTCTTCTTATCGTGCTGTTAACTATGCATACAACTAAAAAAAAAAATTAAAAAATGTTCCTTTAGAAGATTCAGAATCATGCTTTTGTTTTCCCAAATGCTGACACTGATTAAACAATGCTAATTAAGGCACCCTTCCCATTCAAATCTTGCTGTAGTTAGATACATGTAGTTAGATGGGAGGAAAGTCTATAGAAGAATTGCACACAAAGATGTCTGCGCTGTCTTCCATTCTGGTAGTTCCTAAGCCATAGTCTTCCTCAAAATGGCAGAGTATATAAAAGCAAGTGCCGATGCATGCTTGTTTTGCCTTTCTCCCATTTCCCCGATTTCATCACAGGCTACTTTCAGAGACATAAAGTCCAACCAAAGAGACATTATGCTACATTTAAAATAGTTTCAGACTGGCTTTTTTGCTACTGCTCAGGTGATCTGTAACTGGCAGTAGTAGCAAGGTACATCTTATTTTACTGATACAGAAACAATGTTGTCAAGTAAGAACTTGTTTTTCCTTTAAAACTTTTGAAGTATTTCCACCTTGCTATATTTTTTTAAATAATCGCTGTATAATGTTTGCATTGCTTTTGCTTGGTTTGTCACCTCTCTAACACTTAAGGCTTTATTGGCTGATTTCTTAATAGACCATTAGTCAAGCCATGCTAGAATGCCACAGGAAGTAATTTTTAACTCATGAGTAAGTATTTACTGTTACAGTACTGGCCAAAAAGAGACTCTAGTATTTCAATGCAGTGGAACACCCTATTACTGCCCATAATAACTGCATTTTATGAGTCAGGCTCATGCATTTCCAAGAAGATAGAATGTATGATACTCCTAAATTTAAGGAATGCTTTGGTAATACAAATTATTTCAATTGGATAAATGCTGCCTTTCTAAGAAGGACGTATCAATTAATTCTGCATACTAAATGTTTCTGTTGTTAGGTTTTTCCATGTCTCTTGTAATTGTTGTTCTCTCTATAATGGTTGCTTTCAAGCCAGAAAAAAAACCTTCTCCTTTGACAAGTATTTTGCTGCCATATAAGAGTTACTTATAGATTAGATTTACTGGAAGCTGTTTAAAGCTCAACAGTGCACAGAGAAGGCAAATTAGCTTCTTATCTCAAGTGATGATTAAATTAATGCATCATGAACGATACTTCCTCTAATAAACACTTCACTTAAGCACAGTTTTGGTCCCTAATCCCAGAACTACAACAGTACAATCACATGTATCAGTGACACTCTCAATCTCCAGATAATAAATTCAAATTATAAACTGAAATAACTCACTTTATGACAGCCTGGAGCTTCTCACAGAGCACAGTGAGGACAGATACAACATCATCACAAAGAGACTCAGCTGAAGTACCTCCAAAAAGGACAAAGATCATATGCATTACATACGTGCAGCTGGATTACAACCTCAACCCACTACACAGACTTTCAGAGTTGGTCAGAGCTTCAACAATGAACAGGGCTGCCAAAATTCATAGAGAAGATACAGTAGGAGAAGTCCTAGATTGGAAAGGGATCTCCACACAATGAAAATGCAGTAGTATAAAATCCAGAGAGAGCATTGATCGCTTACATGCATTTACAGAACATCAACTGAAATCCACTTTGGATAATAAAATAAGTATATAAATAATTAATTAAAAAAAAGACTGGCTCCAGTACTTCTACATGGCAGCTAAAATTCCTGTATCTCTCCCTGTAGTTTGTCTCTACTACACAGCTTCTGAGTCTGATCAAGTCCTGATCTTAAAACGGGACACTTGTGCACTTCGAAGATTTTAGCCTCCATCCACACAAGTTCTCCTGCAGAAATCCAATGAGAAGATCAAAAGCAGGAATTGTTTTTACCTATCAGGGAAGATGGTGGAAGTTAACCCAGAAGAGGAGTAGAAAGAATTCTCTTGTAAAATAATCATTTGGCAAGTGTGAATACACCTTTGCTAGTGATAAGCTTTCAAAAGCTGCTGTTATACAAACCGCATCTCTGACCTCAAATACAGTAACTCAATCATTTTCAGATTCCATGTCCTATTTTATGAATCTGTTTCAATTTAGGAAGTAAAGCCACTTATAAAATCTTTCTCCAGAGCGCTGAAACTCCTTTAATTACAGAAGTTAACACCTGGAAACAATTATATGTTACTATGTTGAGTGCAATGCTATTACCATGGTCCAAATGAAGACAGGACTGAAAATACCAGGAACTAACAGGGCTGTCTCAGCTCTTACCACAGGTAACATCAAGCTATGGAGAAGGTAAGAAATCCTGAAGATGCCATTCTTGTGACATCAAACAGTACTGTGCTGATGAAAGGAAGGTGAAGCATAAAAAAAGCTGGATTAGAAGGAGTCACTAAAAAAGTGGTACAAATACCTTGAGCCTTGAATTTCTGCAAGGCGTCATGGTTTTCAATTGTCTGTTGAGGAAAGGGAAAGGTGGTGTAATCAGTGGAAGCAGTAGAAAAACACTGTAAAAGCAATACTTTAACAGCACAACTTTCTTAAATCCATGTCCTCTATCTGTTTTGGGTTTTTTGTTTGTTAGATTTTTTTTAAGTGAAGTTTTTCCATAACATTTTCAAAAGTCCCTAAGATCTGTTTTAACAGTCACTTAGATTACAACTAGGATTTGTAAATCCTTAAGGGATTTCCTACACCTAAAACCCCACAGTAATAACTAGGCATGGAAGTCACACTGAAAATAATTGAGAGGAAAGCATAGTCTAGATTTCACCAAGTGCTTAGAAACCCAAATCAATTGAGTATTAGACAATTGAGAATTAGACAATTTATCACATTGTCATCGTTAATGTTGCAGTGCCAATACAATTAATGGCAGTCAGGAAATGGAAACGACCTCTTACATCATTTGGTTTAGCTGCGGTATAGGATTCTTCCTATCAGTGCACACAGGGGTCAAGCCAAAATCTCCTCTCAAGTGCCAACAACAAACTGCCAGGAACTAAATGCAGCTCTCATATACTTTCACCTACTCCTCAGCTAAGAAGAAAACTAACAAAATTCAACTTTCAGACCCAAACTGAAATGTCAAAAATAATGCTTTTGATTTGGTATGGTTGGTTTTTGGTCAGTTTTCTTTTTGGTAAATGTTTCGGCTGGTAAAATGAACCTACTTAGCACAGACAGAAGGTAAGCTTAAGTAAACCAATTAATTCTGTTCTGCTGTTGCTCATCTAGTCTAATAATCCAAAACAGAATTTATCATCTTAACCCAAAACAGATGTAAGGAAAATAATCTGTACAACTACAGATAAATAGAAACTGACTTTTACAAACAGTACTTTTTTGATAATGTAATAATATTCAAAGCAGCACGAATGAATGTAAGAAGCCAGTGAAATATCACATGTGCCCAGAACATATACAGTTTTGCTGACAATGTGCTGGGATTTCATCCAAACAGCTCTCATGGATTTTAATAATGTAATAAATGGAATTATTTAATTTTTTTTGCTAACAACCAAGCAGAGAACTTCATCAGCTTAAATTATCTTCTACAAAAAAGTAGAAGAAAAACCTCAATTATACTTTCCTTAGTTGAGAATTTGTTTATGTAAATATTTGTCATGCAAAAACCTTTGGCAAAAGGATTTCAATGAACCTTAGGAAAACAAGCAAACAAAATAAAGAATGGGAAAGGAAAAGGCCAAGGCAGCCTGACATCAGAACAAAGCCTTTTTTGTTTAATGGAAGGGGAAAAAAATAATCAGCCAAGTAGAGCTGACAATGTGAGAGCTGTGTTTCTGACAGACTGCTCTGAGGCAGGCACAGAGTCAGAGCCCAAAAAAGCTTTTAAACACGATTAACTGCGGAAGTGTCAAATAAAAGCCATAAGGCACAACAAGCCAGTACAATACACTGCATTCAGAGAAACAAAAAGGTACGCAGCCATCGACATGGAACCATTTGTTGATGCCAGAAGGCTCACCATATTTTCTTGCTTTTGTCGTAACTGTAAAGTCAAGTCACTCAACATTTGGCTGAGGGTTGCCCGCACAGCGGTGTTAATGCTCCGCTGGTGACAGCTAGATACATATGTCTCAATGCAAACCTGATGAGGAAACAAGATAGCAGTACATAGATATGAACTGTAACTTACCAGTAACACATTTTAGGAGGATACCAAGGTCTCTTGGACACAGATAGTCAGCCTACCTTACTAGTCCATTTTGCTTTATTAGTACTTTAAAAGTTTTCAGCAATATGGAAAACTGAATAAGTAGCATCTCGAAGCACCATGCACTTCATCAGTTAGTCTCACAGCTGCAGGAATGGTAAGGCAAAATTGGCAAAGTTCTCCCCTTCTGTCAAACCCAAGTGATTTTGGCACTTGCTTTACTGCTGCTTCAATTGTTCATTTCTTGATACTTATTTGTAACTCTCACTCTGCCAAGTCTGTATCTGCAGCATAAATACCCTCTGATTCTTTAAGGCTGTTGCTTCTCTTGTATAGGTATTTGCCACTTTTTCTACAATTAATTATCATATACTGCAGCACATCTGAAAGCCTTTGAAGGCCTTTCCTAATCCAGAAAATACAATAGTGTTTTACGACAAATAACAGAAACAATTGCCTAACTAATAACTGGCAATCAACCGGAAGGCTCCTCAGCTCAGCGATCCCACGGGAGCCAAGGTAGCAATGAAAGAACATGAATGGATCATCCAGTTCCCAGCTCCATGCCCAGCTGCTCGCAGGTTTTTGACACCATGCTGTGAACAGAGTTGTACTTGACTTTTGCACTCAGATGATGTTATACAAATAGTTGCCAAAGCATAACGCAGCTAGGATCCTGTGGACAGCACACTGCAAAATGCAGTTTCTATCCTTGATCAGATTTTCTGTGGGAGGTGGTGGTCTCTGTAAGAGCTGCTGTAACT